GTGAGCCCACGAGATCGACACTGGCCGATGCATCATAATATGCCTAGTTTGAGCCAAAATAAACAAGAGATGTTTCGCTCTATAAACTAAGAGATAAAGTTAGAACCATAAACACCCCCAAAAATATCAAGAAATACTACTTTAAATTTCATACATTATAATTTTTTTTTTTTTTTTTTCAAATTGAATTTTTTTTATTTTCCCCTCGTTACATTTAAAAAATTTTGCGGAATCTTTTTTTTTTTTTTCCCACATATCAACTTCTTCCGATATACAACTTATTTTTTTTATAAGAGTTCTAAAGGTAAGAAAAAAAATATCAAAATATCAAAAAAAAAAAAGAAAAAAATTAAAAATAATTTAAAAAACAAAAATAAAAAATTGACCCAAATCGCAAAAAATAAAAAAAAAAACACCAATCACATCACTTATATTATTAGATTAGCTATATTTGATTTAAAATTGTAAAATATATATATAATGAACTTTATATCCATTCTATAATACCAAATTATTTTTAAATATCAGTTATAAAACTATTTAAATTTGTTTATTAAATACCAACCAATATTATTATTAGAAAAATAAACTTAAAATCAAATTTAAACTGTATTTACAAAACACAGAATTTCATTAAATTTTAACAAAATATTTTAAAAAAAAACCCTAATAATAGTATTATATTGTTTCCCTCACACATCATATATTTATCCATTATAAAATGAACACAATTATTATCAACCACAATCATATGTTTTTCTTCTTTTAATTATCCTATATTTAAAAAAAATAAAATAAAAAAAAATAAATAGCAACAATCAATAACAATCTCAATTATTAATTATATAAAAAACTATAAATAAAAGATAATCAAAAGATAAAATTTAAAACACACATAATAAAAATACACCCACATGCTAGTATAATAACTTTTAACCAAATTTATATATATATGTATAATAATTAAAAAATTATTAATAGTTTACACACATTCACTATCAACAAAATCAATATAAATTTTTTTTTTTTTAGTGAAAAATAATTATGGGTGCTCATCATTCATTATAATAATAAAATATTGTGTATAAGAAATTTGTTGTGTTGTGTTGGTGTGTGATTGTGGTGTTGATTGTATCTGTGTGCTTAATTTTCTTTTTTAAATATTCACAACACATTAAACAATAAAAAAATAAAATATATCAATATACTTTTTATTGTTTATTTTCTTTCATCCCTTTGGTGTTTTTTAAAATTTAAATAACTATTTATTAAACGAATTTGCTTAAAATAATAATAATAATAATAAAAAAATTTTATAAAAACAACAAAGTTTTTATATTAGCAAACAATCATATAATCAGGTCCTGACCATATCACAAAGAACACCCACAATTCTAACACAATAATAAAAAATAGACACACCACTATCATTTTATTATAATAATAACAATAAAGGTTTTATCTATTTTATTTTTTATTTTGTTTTTTTTTATATTTAATACTTGTTTTTTTATTTTTTTATTTTTTAATTTTTATTTTCTTTATCAAATTAATTATAAAATAAATTATAACAATTGGTTTTTTTTAATTTATTTATTTTTTTCCTTTCTTGTATTATATATAAAACAAAAAATAGACAAATCATAAAGTAATAATATTAATAATAAAGGTATACTTTTATTATTCCCTCAAGAATTATATTTGGCCATTATAAAATAATCAAATAACTTTTTTGAATACCATTCATTATATAACAATAAAACTTTAAATTTAATAAATACTTTTTTTTTTTTTTTTTTTTTTTTTTTGTTTGTTTGTTTGGAATAATTAAAATCTAAAGGCCAAAATTAGCTTTTGGGTTTATAAGTTGCATAATGTTTTTTTTTTTTGTTTCTTTGTATTTTCAAACCCACACAGCTCATAAAAACATCCTATTAACTCGTTCTATAAAAAAAAAAATAAAAAAAAATATATATTTCACACACTTAACACACTATACACTATAACACAGAGCAAATAACAATATGATCAATATATTGTTGTTGTTGTTAATTATAATAATTTTAATTGTTTTAAAAAAAAAATATATAATATAATATGTACTAATTTTAAATTTTCATTAATTTTATATAGATTTATCCAACACACTAATTTGTGATTGGAATCAAACAGCTCACTCACACCCCCATAATTCAATTATTATAATCCAATAATTAAAATATATAATTTTTTTTATTTTTATTTTTTTTCCCAATATTAAAAATAAAATAAAATATGGAAATCGATAACAATAATATAACTACAAGTGTTTCATCACCTAATGATGATTTTAAAAAGAAGTTACAATTACAGCTTCAAAGTGGATCAACAAATTTATTATTTAAAAAAAATCAATATGTTAATTCTCCTCATAACTCTCCATTAAATACAAGTAATAGTAATATAAATAATAATATAAATAATATAAATAATATAAATAATAACTATATAGATAATAATAATAGCAATAATAATATAAATTTAAATTCATCATTTGTAGAAACTTTAGAAAATAATCAACACCCTTTAAAAACTAAATCATCATTACCACCACCATTACCACCACCATTACCACCAAATGGTAGCAAACCTACAAAATCAAAATCATCTGAAAAACTTTCTGTAAAATTATTAAAATCAAACGTCAATAACCCAAATAATAAATCTCCAACAAATTGTAATATAGAATCCCCATTTAATCAACAAGAATTAATACTACCACCTCCACCCCAACCACAACCAATAAATAATTATTTAGCATCTTCATCCTCTACAACAGCATCACCATCTTCATCAAATAATTCATCACCATCAAACTCTAATAATTCATCACCAACACTTCCAAATAATAATAAAATGAATAAAATACAGCTACCACATTTGCAAAGTTTATTTAGTAACAGCAATAGTAATACTTTACCATCATCATTACCACCAAATAAATTACCACCTCCCGTACCACCATTCAGGAAAATACCATCCAATCTAGATATGATGAGAATAAATAAAAGTAATAGTTTAACAAATTTAAATGAAGAAAGTGCAACATCATCGAATACCGAAACCGTTTCAGATTATGGTGACGACGACAGTCAATTACAATTAAGTCAACAAAATTCATCTTTCCCAATATCGCCAAGATTAAGACACGAGTCTAAAGTTATACCTTCAGAAATCACACTCAAAGTTAAATATCAGCCAAGTCCAAATGTTTCAAATACAAATATTTTACCAATCAATAGAGAATTAATGTTTTCACCATGTTCAACAATCGATGAAATTTTATCGAATATTATAACAAACTTTCAATGTCATCATGGTTTAAAAAATGCTAAGCACACAAGTGATAACGAATGGGAAACTGATGCTATAGATATTAAAGATCACCAATCATTTGCATTGTTTCATGAAAATGATGTTTTATCACCATTACATAAAGAAAAGACATTACTAGAGTTGGGTTTAAAGGAACAACAAGTTTTACTTTTAAAGACCGTCCCATTAGTGTTTACATTGGTAAAGGTTACAATGCCACAATTTAGTGATGAAGTTTTACCAGCTGTTGCAACCGTTAAATTTAATCAATTCACGTCAATTCGTTCAGTCATTCGTAAACTGTTTTTAAAGTTTCACAACAATATCGATATCACTAAACATGCAATCTACAGAGTGGATCCATCATCACAAAGAGAAGAGTTACTTGACGAAGATGAATTATTCTCAACTTATAATATAAACCAACAAAGTATTTTAATTTTTAGAACATTAAATGGTCAAGAGAGTGATTTACATTCGTCCCAAAAAACTTTACAGCTTAAATTTATTGTTTCAACAGCCCACTTTAGAAACAACACTTTAAATTTATCTTTTGACCCAAGAGATACCGTTTCTAAAGCTATAAAAATTACTGGTCTTCGTTCTGGGCTATTAGATAGTTTAAATAATTGTGGTTTCTTTTTAACTCCCGAAGATGATGACGATGAAGGTTTTTGGATGGATGAGGATTTCCCATTAGAAAATTATAATTTAAGAAATAATGTAAGTTTAAAATAATTGTTATACTCTAAAAAAAAAATTCGAATTCAAATTAATATTAATTTTTTAATATTTTTTTAGACATTTTTAACATTTAAAGAAAGATGTAAAAAATATACTGTTATAGTCAAGCCTGGTGATAGAAAATGTACATTTAAATTTGATCAATTTACCAAGGTTTCAACATTGTTTAATATACTTGTAAATAATGAAATTATTAAAAATCCAAAAGATTATTACTTATCAATAAAGAACGGACCTACATTAGAAAAACACAGATTCGTTTGGTCATATGGTGATATTAAAGGTGATATCGAATTTAAAGAGTTCCCCAACAAATTATTGTTATTTAACCCAGTCAACGGTGAAAAGAATTTAGTTTATGTAGATTTTGATGTTCCAATTAAAGATGTTTGTGCAAGATTGTCTCAAAATTTCACATCACCAATCGATGGTGTAGCAATTGTTTCATCATCTATAAATAGTCAATTTAGTAGCTTGAGTGGTCACGGTTCAACTAGAGAAAGAAGTTTTACATTTAAGAAATTAGGTCATTTAGTCAATACTATCGATTCAAGAAAATCTTTAAGAGACCAAGGTGTACAACCAAATGATGCATTAATGTTACAAGTAGTCGATGAAGAAATAGATGACCAAGAAGAATCAAATGTGAACTCGGGTGATACCACACCATCTTCAACTCCACCAATTCCAATTGAAGATTTAGTACAAGATGGCACTATTCTCTCTGAAGAAAGACAAATTAATATTTGGGATGAACCTGCAGATTCACCAGAGAATATTATTTATTCTACCACAACTGGTAGTTTAAATCCAGAAATCGATGCTGCCACATTAAATAAATTAATCATCCGTTTGACCAATCCAGATTTCCATGATCTCATGTTTATGAAAACTTTCTTGATGACTTATTCATCATATACTACCACCAGTACTCTTTTAAAGAAATTATTTGAACGTTTCCAAGTACCACAACATATTGACGAAAAAGAAAGATTATCTGCTCAATTACGTGTTGCAAATGTAATTAAATATTGGGTCGAACATCATTATGAAGATTTTTGTCACGAATCTACAAAGTTAATGGTAGATTTTGTTGATACTCATATGATGATTGCTTTCCCAACATTAGGTATCCAAATTAGAAATTGTATCTTAAAACGTACTTGTGGTTTTAGAACTGAATTGGTTAGAACACGTAGTAATGGTGCCTTAACTTCACCAAGAGGAACAAATGTTTTTTCATTATCAAACTCAGTCATCAGTACTCCAACCAAAGATAGCAGTAATTCTACATTTTCATCAACACCAATTTTATCAAGAGGTTCTTCAAATTTATCAATCTCATATAATTCATCAGTTACAGGTAGTACAATTATTGGATCACCATTATCAAACTCATCAGTTTTAAACAGTGGTTCAAACTCTCCATCATTAGGACCATTATCACCAAGACCCATTTCATCATCGGCATCTACCTCATCAAGCTCATTATTAAAATCACCACAACCAAAGAGAATTCCTGAAACTAAAACAAAAGGCTTCTTAAATCCAAGAACCTTATTCGACTTTGATGACGAAGAAATTGCAAGACAACTAACTCTCTATGATTTCCAATTGTACAGCTCAATCAAACCAACAGAATTTTTAAATCAAGCATGGAATAAACCAAGTATGGCCGCTAGAAAATCACCAACTATTTTAAAGATTATTGCTCGTTTCAATGATATTAGTGCATGGATCGTTCAATTAATTTTACAACCAGATCGTGTTAAAACCCGTGCTAAACGTTTAAAGAGAATTATCAATATTGCTGATGAATTACGTAAAATAAATAATTTCAACACATGTATAGCATTTATTAGCGGTATCAATAATTCTGCAATTTTACGTTTAAAACATACCCATTCACTTCTCACAAAGAAATATGTAGATACTTTAAGAAACTTAGAAAAAGAAATGAATTGTGAATCATCATACAAAGCCTACCGTGACAAATTAAAAAATTCCGACCCACCAGTAGTACCTTATATTGGTTTATATTTAACTGATTTAACATTTATAGAAGAAGGTAACCCAAATATCATTAGAAACAACTTAATCAATTTTGCAAAATACTATTTAATTCATAAAGTAATCTCTGAAATTCAACAATACCAATGGACAGAATATCAACTAAATGTAGCTCCAATCATTCAAACCTTTATTAGAGATATTCCTCAAGTAAATTTAGACGAACTATACCAATTATCTTTATTAAAAGAACCAAGAGGTTCTTTAAAATCTGATATTCCATAAATATTTTTTTTTTTATAAAAAAAATAAACTAAAAATAAAACTTTTAAAAAAAAATATATATTATTTTTTTTTTTTTATCTTTAAATTTCATTTAATTTATTTGTTTTAATTTTATTATTTTGTTTATATTTATAATCAAAAAAAAAAAATCTAAAAAACTTTTTTTTTTTTTTTTTTTTTTTCATTTTTTTTAAAATTTCTACAATTTAATATACAATGGATTTAATAAATAATAATAAAAATTTATATATTGGGATTATGAGCGGAACATCACTTGATGGTATTGATGTCGTTCTAACAGAAATTAACAATAGTGGAATTAAAGTATTAAAAAGCTATACACATCCATTACCAGAAACAACAAGAAAAGAAATATTATCAATAAACCAAGGTCAACAAACAACATTAGTTAAAATTGGTAAAATCAATAGAGATTTAGGTATATTATATGGTGAAGCTGTAATAGAATTATTGAAATTGGTTAAGAGGGATAATAATAGTTTTAGCAAAGATGATATTGTAGCCATAGGAAATCATGGCACAACAGTTTATCATATGCCAGAAGAGGGTTTTACAATACAACTAGGTGATAACAATAGGGTTGCAGCAATGACAAATATCAATGTAGTGGGTGATTTTAGATCAAGAGATATAGCTTTAGGTGGTCAAGGTGCACCATTAGTTCCAGCTTTTCATAAATTCATACTATCAGATGATACCGAAAAAAGAATAGTATTAAATATAGGTGGCATATCAAATATTACTTTATTAATACCAAATGGTGATACTCTAGGTTTTGACACTGGTCCAGGTAATATAGTAATGGATAGTTGGATACAACAAATAAAAAATGAAGCATTCGACCAAGATGGTCAATGGGCAAAATCAGGTACTATTAATGTTAAACTTTTAGACGCAATGTTAAACTCTACAGACTATTTCATCAAATCTCCACCAAAAAGTACAGGAAGAGAGTTATTTAATATAGGATGGTTAAACAAAATACTGCTTCAAGATGCTTTCAAAGAAATTAAATCAGAGGATGTTCAAGCTACCTTACTAGAGTTAACATGTAAGTCAATTGTGGAGGAAATTAAAAAAACAAATATTACCTTTGACAGAGTATTGGTATGTGGCGGTGGTGCTAAAAACTCAATGATTATAAAACGTTTATCAGAACTTTTATCTCCATTTAATACAAAGGTTTCTTTAACCGATGACCATGGTGGTGTCCCAACTCAAGACATGGAGGCCGCAGCATTTGCATGGTTAGCATATCGTACAATTAATAGAAAGCATGGTAATTTAAAAGAAGTAACAGGTGCTTCTGAAAATACAATATTGGGATCAATTTATTTAAAAAATTAAAATTAAAGTTAAAACAAAAAAAAAAAAAAGTTTTTTAGTTTATTTAGTTTTTTATTTTCTTTAATTTATTTATCATTTTATTTTATTTAAGCTCTAGTAGTATTAATTAGTCTTTGATGTTCACCATTAAATTTGCTTAATCTTTTCTTCATAAATAAAACAACTACAAAAGCAATAGCAAATACACCTGCAACGATTGCACATACAATAAAAGCAATTTTCCATTTTTGTCCATTATTTGGGCCGTTTTCATTTCCATGGTCGAATTCTAATCTGATGGTGTAATCTTGAACTACAAAGTTTATTTTTGGTTGAATATCATCAATATTTAAAACATTAATTAATTGAATATTTGAAGAATGTATATTTGTAATATTTATTTGATTTGAAAAAGTTGAATCTTGAAGTAACTCTACTAAAACAATTGAAATGTTATTGTATAAATTGGTTGGTTCTTTAAATTCGATTACTAAATTAATAGAATCAAATAAAATTGAACCTGCAACTGTAATTACTGGATCATTGTAAGCAGCGGAACCTTTTAAGTATGGCATGGTACTTCCATCGTTATTTGAATCATTATTATAGAGGTAGTAGTTTGTGATGGTTAAAGTAGAGTTTTGAGATAAAGTTAAATTTTTTCTAAAGGTAAGGTCTTTAGTATCTACAGTTAAAAAGCCATTTTCGGTGATAGTGGTGTCATCCATAACATTTGATGAGTTGGTAAACTCCATTGAAAAAGCGGTTACATTAGCGTTGACGACCGAATTTAAAAATATTTTACCAGTTGGTGATACATATACGTTATCTGTTTTAATATCAGCATTATGGTTGAATTGTATAATACCATCGATAATGATACCCTTATATGCATCGGCGTAATTTGATACATTAAGGATTAGATTTTCACCGACATAGAGCTTACAGGTAATACATAATAAATCTTGGAAAGAGGAGCTTTCAGTTACATTGACCCAGTCACCTAAACTACTGATATGGCCAATAGAGGAGCTATTTAAATATAAATCACCATATACATTTATACTTAAATCATAACAGTTGCAGTTATTTAAGGTGGTTGGAAATACTTCATCAGAAACAATTAATGATGAGCCATAGTAAGTGGAGTCGCTAAAATCACCTTGAATAGTATATCCAGATGGAATAAACATTTGAGAATAGAAAATGCTGATGAATGTTGAATCTAAAACCTTATTATTATTAATTAAATTGCTGACTTTAAATACGGTTGTATCGAGGAAAATCTTGCCTCCAGCATTGATCACTATATTATCAAATTTAACTACGTTGGCCATATCACGCCAATTTTTACCACCACCAATGAAGTATAAATTACCGGTAACTTCTAATGTTGCAACTTTGAAATTGTTTTTTTCACTTTGATTCTTAATGATGGATTTGGATCCTGGAGGTGTTATAATGGAAAGGGTACCAGTGGAGCTAATTACATTTGAAATGGTGGCATTACCAGATAACACTATTGGAAGGGTACTATTATGATTTACTAATGTATTTAAATTTGATATTTGATTAACATTAAATGATGATTGGTCTAAAATGGTTAAGTTTCCAGAAACTAAACTAACGATTTCACTTGTTACGTTGGAATGGCCGTTTAATTGTAAAATGGATCTAGTTGTATTCAATATATTTGAAATGGTATTTGAGTCTGTAATATTTAAAGTTGAGGCAGTTGCAGTGAAATTGATGGCGGTATTTAAAGTAGAGTTATTGATGTTTAAAATTAAATTGGATGAGGTTGATGATTTCGATAACAATTGACCAGTTAAAGCAATTGAATTAAATTGTAAACTATTTAAATTATTTAATATTAAATAGTATGGGTTTTTACTATTATTATTTGTAGATAAATCAATAACAACATCGTCACCATTTGATGGTGTATCACCGTTATTCCAATATAAATCAGATGATAAATCGCATGGGGTTAATGTATTGTTGCATTGATCAGTTAGCGTATTATTAAAACTAACGGTTTTACAATTAATAAAATTTATACATAATATTATTATTAACGAAATTATTATTTTCATTTTTTTTTTATTATTTATTGTATTATGAGGTAGATTAGAAAAAAAAAAATTTTTTAAAAAATCATAGTTTTATTTTATATCAAAAAAAATTTAAAAAAAATATATTTTTAAATAAATAAAAAAAAATTATAAAAAAAAAGTGATGTGGCTTAGTGTCCATATTAATAATTTTTTTTATCTAAAAAAAATCTAGATATTTGGAGTATTTAGAATGTTTTGATTTTTCCACCACCATTTTTTTTCTAGAAAAAAAAAAAAATCAGATAAAATTTTTAAAAAAAATAAAATTTTTTTAAAAAAAGATATGGATTTTTCAAATTCTATTAGATCCTCAATAAAAAGTGATGTCATTTTATAAAATATGAGCCAAATTCAGAGAATTTATTGATTAATAACCTAAAAAATCAATAAACGGTTATATTCACGACTGCCCCATTTTTATAATTTATTATATAAAAAAATAAAATGAAATAAAAAATAAAATAAAAATATAGTTCTTTGGAATAGTTCAAAGAGTTTAAAAATCTTTTGTTTGTAAAGTTAAGGTAAATTTATTTATCGAAAAAAAACTTTATTTTTTTTGTAAATTAATTTTTTTTAAAAAAAAAAAAACTATTATTTTAAAAATCATTGTTTTGATTATTTTATAAATATAATAAAATATTATAATAATCAAAATGATCAAATTCGTAATTATAAATTATTTGATTAAAAAAACAACACACCCTAAAAAAAATTAATTTTTAACACAACACACAATGAATTTAGAAATATTGTTTTGTATAAATTTAAACATTTTTATTTAAAATTTTTTACTTCCAAGTTTATGGTTTCATTGCAAATTTGAATTGTGAATATTTGAAGAAAATGATCATTTTATTTATAGTACAAATTTTTTTATTTTTTTATTTTTTTTTTATTTATTATTTTTTTTTTAATTTTTTTTCTAATTTTTTTTTAATTTTTTTTTTTTTTTTTTTAATTTTCAAATTTTTTTTTTTTTTTTCATTTATTAAATTATTTCCAATAATTATAGAAATAAGTAAATAACAAATTATGTCAAATAAAAAAACTACAGAAATCAAATTAGACGAAAGAGTAAATTCATACAAAGAATATTTGTATGAAAAAACACTCAATTATTTAAAAAATGTAATTCCAGAAAGAATTCAAGAATTCCATAAATTATCCGTATGTATTCCTCATTAATCATTGCAGTGGCACAAAGCTATTGTTATTAATCGCTTCTTTATAAATTAATCATTATTATAGCAAAAAGGTGACGAAAATTTTAAAGATGATCCAATCCAAAATGTTTTAAAGAAAAGAAAATTAGAATCAGATAATGGATTTGAAGCTCCTTCATTAGAAAATTTAATGAAAATTAATAAAGTAAGTATTAAAGTCCTATCACATTCACAAAACCTTAGGAAACCAATATTAATTATTATATTTTTTTATTATTACAGAAAATTATTGAAGCTCACACCAAATTAAGAAAAGATTATATTGAAGTTATTGAAATTTTTTCAACCATCAGAGCATGGATCCATATGAATATACCTAGAATTGAAGATGGTAACAATTTTGGTGTCGATATTCAAGAAGATGTCGTTGCTACCCTTACAAAATTAGAAGATGTTTACACCACATTATTAGAAACTTGTGAAAGTTATTTCACTTCAAGAGCCCAATACATGAAGAGAGCTTTAAAATACAAGGAAATTGATTCCTATAGACATGTGTAAGTTATTTAAATGATTTTATATACAAAAATGAAACACCAGACAACTAATTTATAAATATATTTTAAAATACCTATAGCATTGCCCAAATAGATGAAAAAGAATTTATTAAATTTAATTTTGCATACTTTGATTTAGCTAATAACTATTCAACTACCTATTCACTCATTGTTAAAAACTTTGCAAAACTCGAACAACCAAGACCAACCAATGTCACAAGCAGTATGTTCTAAAAAAAAAAGAAAAAAAAGAAATTAATAAAAAGATATACCTTCACCGCCGCTACTATCACTTATTTGTAAAGATAAAACCAAATATATAATAATAATTTAATAAAACGACCATTGCCTTTTGTTATAGGAATTTATAACAAGAGAATAATAGATAAATTTTTATTTGTTTTTTAAATTTAATAGTTTTTTTATTTATTTATTTTTTTTGTTAATATTATTTATTTAAATTTGTTTATATAATTTGTACATTATTTTATTTATTAAAATGAGATTTTTGAATATGATTTTACAATTTCTTTAATAAATTTAATAGAATATAAAAGTTCTAATATTATCACGATTACTAATGATAATGTGACTAGTAAAGTTGATAGATTAAAAGGGTTTATTAAAGTTGAATCATAAATAATCCATAGTTGTTTTGGTAACACTGTCATTGAAATAAAACCTGGATTTTTAATGATTAGTAACAATTACGTTTATAATAGGTTATAAATAATTATGAAATACATACATAAACCCATTGTTGAAACAAAAAATTTATAATTTGAATTGAATTTTAAAACTTGAAATAAATCATATGTTATATTAATAACATGCAAAAATTCGTCAAATATTAATAAATAAATATACTTTAAACCTTCTTTATCTAAATACTATAAAAATAATTATAATTAATAAAATTGGTTTTATTTGGTGTTCTAACTATTTTACCTACAATTGAAAAATATAAACAAAAAAATGAAATAATATGACGAATATAAAGCAATTTATCATTACTTTTATATAAAGATAAAAGAGTAATATCTGTTAATTTAAAGATTAAAAAGGAAATTACTATAAAATTTAAATTCTCTTGATATGATTTGTTTATCATATTTAAAAAGCAACTGATTGTAAAATATAAACCTATAAATCCTCTTATTATTCCATGATAGAGTTGGTTTAAGTTGTTTTCGCTTATATATTGTGGATTTACAAAGTGGGTAAATTGATATAGAAGTTGATGCTGACGTTGGTGTTTATCTTTTATTTTTTTTGATTGCAATAAATAGGGTGTTAAAAATTTATTTGATACTAAAAAAATACAAATTGGTAAAAATGCAAATAGTAAAACACTGATAATTAACCATTCATCTCTAAGATATCCTAAATTTGAAAAACCAAAATATTTTGAAATAATAAGATCCTTTAAATTCATTTGGTAAATGAAATCTCTAAATTGGAATTTATTTGGTGCAATAGGAGATTGCATTACATAACACTGTTGTTGAACTTCATCATTATATTGTAACAATTGTTGCTTTTCGCAATATAAATCTGAATTTAAATAAATATTATCTATAAATCTTTGGGTATGTGTAAAATTAGAAAATATTATTTTCATTTTATTATTATTTTATTATTTTAATTTATTTTAATTTTTATTTATATTATTATTTTAAATATTGTTTATTATTATTATAATATATTTATTAAAAAAAAAAAAAATTAACTGCTTTGGGTTGTATTTTTTTATTTTTTTTTGTAATACACCCCCCCAAAAATAAAACAAATTAAAAAAAAAAAAAAAAATTTAATTTATAAAAAAATAAATTATAAATCTAAAAATAGAAATAAAGAAATTCGTAAAATTGAATTGTTTTTTGTATAAAACAAAATTTATTTATTATTAAAATTTATTTTAGAAAAAGAAAAGAAATAATATAACTTTTTTTTATTTTTTTTATAATGCAATACAAAGAAAAAAACTAAATTTTTTTTGTTTGTATGCATAACAATTATTATTTAAGATGACCAGTTTTTAACTTGTTTACGTTTGTGTACCTCCAATATTTTTATTGATTTGGGTAACTGATTCTCTAAAATAGTTTTTTTGAATTCTATCATTGATAGAGTTTCAAGTAATGTTAAAGATATTAAAGAGTTTCCTAAATCTTGATTGAAACTAGACATCTTTAAATATGTAATTGATTCAGAAAGTGACCCATGATAAATTGGTTGATTAAATGACCCAAGTGTCAATTTTTTTAAACCAGGTGGAAGAGAACCAATATCTAATTGTTGATTATATGAATGAAGAATAAGCTCCTCACAAGTATTTGGGAAATCACCTGGTTTTATTCTTAAATTGAAAGAATGTAAAGATAAAATTACAACTGACCCAAAGAAAGTGGATGAAATAATATCTCTATTAAATCTGAATATATTCAACTTTTTAATAAATTTTGGGAACTCTTGTTTACTTGGTGAAGTTTGAATAAAGTGATAGAGACTTAATTCATTTACACTTGAGGGTATAACTGAGTTTAATTCTATTTCATGAGTATAATTTTGGCCCAATTTTAAAACTTTCACTGTTTTTGGAATATTTCCTATTTTAATGGGACTATTGAAACTACCAGTAAGATTTAATGTAACTGTACCTTTTGGTATAAATTTTCCTAGTGGCTGGTTAATATATACATCATAAGATTGACATAAGAGCTCTGATGGACATTTTTTAATCTCCTCTAAATTATTTTTAACTCTTTTAACCATATTTGAATACATATGATATTTAATTTTTTTTCTAATAACTTTATTTCTCCAAATTTTAAAAAAAAGTTTATCGTTACTATTATTATTATCATTATTATCACTTTTATTTTTTGATGTTGCAGAGGATTTAATTGAGGTTTCTTTATTAACAAAATCATTATTTTTTTTATTATTTATTTTATAATTGTTATTATTGATATTAGTTTTATTATTTGTAATAATGTTGTTGTTTTTGTTTTTGTTGTTGATACATTCATTTAAAAGGGCACCATCATCAATTGTTTTATAGTCATTTTTATGATTTAAATTTGAAAGTACATTGATTTCATTGCCTCCATCATTATTTAAAGTGAAACTATTATTATTGCTACCATCACTATTGTTATAATGATATTCATGATTCTGAGCTTTTATTCTTTCTAAAGCATCATTGATTCCTAACCATAAATACTCCAATTCATTTTTGATAAGGGTTTCTAATAACCTATGGTGCAATATATAATTTATTATACTATCTAATAAAAATTAAAATTAATTAATATTAAAATAGTATATAATTTTAATTTTAATTTTAACACAAACCTAAAGTATTCTTTTGAAAAAAGCTATTAATTTCTTCATAGTTGTCAACTTCATTATTTGTTTGTCTTAACGCGTCAACTTCATTATTTGTTTGTCCTAACGCGTACATTGTTAATAAATTTTAAAAAAATAATTAGATAAAAAAAAAAGAATAAATATATATAAAAATAAAAGAATTAAAATAAATTAAAAAAAAAAAAATAATAATACAAATAAAAAAATAATAAAAAAAATAATAATAATATATATTAAAAAACAATTAAAAAAATTAAAAAAATACAAAAGGGGTGGGGTTGGGTGTGGTAAATTTTTCTTATCCCTTTTCCTAATATATTTCT